ACATATTATCTTAGTATAATAGTCATCTAAGGGGGAGTGTTGTAAATATATTGCATATATAAGGATGAACTCTAACCTATCAATTTAATAAGTATTAGTAATTGACTCTATAACTCTACCCAGAGTTAATATTGTATTTGATGACCATTAGGATTTGAGGCTTATGAAACACGGATACGGATACGAGATTCGGGTATAATACGATATGGATACGGCGATACGATAAAATCTAAAAAAGAAGAATATGGGTATGGTCAAGATACGACTATAATAAAATATATTTATTATTTTCAATCAACTTAATACTTATACATTTTGGTAGTTTTTTAACACAATAAAGAAAATTTGTAATTCTTTTTAGTTTAAAGAAAATATATATTGCATCACTCTGATATATTTACAAAGTGAAGTGATTAATTAAAGGAATCAAAACTAACATTTACCGAGTCGGTTTATTTGGAAGTGATTTTTGCTAAAACTATAATGTAATAGATTTATTTTATACTCTTTTGACATGTAATTGTAGATAATAATTAAAAAATACTCATATGCCTTTGAAGTAGTATGAATTTTTGTAAATGTATTATATGGAATGTAAATTTGAAAGAAAATGTTAAAAATTCAACTCAAAAATTATATATATTGCTTGAACACAAAAATATCCGTGAAGTATGCTAATATTTAATTATTATTGGATACGTAAGAGGTGTATTCTATATGTATCCTTGGGTATCGGACGAGTATCGTATCTGATAAAGCATTCGATACGGATACGCTGACCCCAACGAAGTATTTGTACTTCATAGTTTGAGGCCTATAAAAGGAGGTTCTCATCACATTGACAAATACATAAGTTGAGAAATTATTTCTCTAGCATATACATATTCTCTATATTTTCTTTGTAGTCTATATAATTCTCTGACTTTCACGAAAATAGATCTATATATATATATATATAAGAGTTGTTAGTTTTTAAATTTGTTTTAATTAAATATAACTATTAAAGGTATTTTAGATAATGGATATCAAAATAGATTTATTTTCAAACAAGTTTTTTGAGTGTATTTAAGTCTAAATAAGTCCACAAAAGGGGACCAGCCTCCAAATTCTCCATAAATCTTTTTCATAATTTTACTCGATTCAAGATAGTTAATGATATATTCATGTTAAACCCACTTGAATGCATTGAGTCCATTTAGGTTTATACTTGATGATTTAACATTCGGTAAAGCTAAGAGAAAAATTTGTTACAATCAATAAGAATTTTTTCTAGAACACTTATTCAAGTAGAATTAGTTTTAATCAATTTTTTGCTAAAATCATCAATTGTGGCTTGAATCAATTTTGGTAGAGTATTTCTTTAATGTCAAAATCATGAATTCATAACTTCAAACACAAAATATTTACAAAAAAAAAAAAAACAATATAGACCATGTTGTTGAGTGTTATTTGATAAATTAAGATTTAGCATTCGTTTTGTAATATTTTTTTTTAAAACAAAAAAAAGAAGTAAATTTGATGATGAGAAGGGTAGCTAAGTGAAATTTTAAATGTTTTTATATTAAAATAATGTTACCATTGACTCCGAAAGTTTTAGGGTAATTTTTGGGAAAATTTGGGATTGGTCCCTTTTGTGGACTTATTTAGACTTAAATTCACTCAAAAAACTAGTTTGAATATAAGTCTATTTTGATCATCATTATCTAAAATATCCTTAGTAATTATATTTAATTAAAATAAATTTAAAAATTAACAACTCCTAAATTTTAGGAGTTTTACTAATATTAAAATTGAATATATATACACATACTTATTCACACCTACTCAAATATAGATAGTTAGTGAACTGAAAATGTTGAAGAAGAGAATGTATGGATCAAAAGAGAAGTAGAAAAAAGGAGAAGGAAAAAGAAAAGAAGAGAGTATGGTGTTGCAATGGATGAGAAATCCATTTGATGTTAGTTTTTCGAAGAATGCCTCTTAACCTTTTTGTTTTTTTCATTCGTAGCCCGTCATGAGAGAAAGAGAGAAATAGCCCAACTGAATTTTTTTGAATTTGAATTTTAAATTTAGGATGAAAATTTTATTAACATATCTTCATCGATATTCAATTAAAGGGATAACAATTTACAAGATAGGAAACTAATTTAGGATTAATTGTAAATTGCATTCCGAAAAATTGTTCGAATTTCAATTTACATCCTCAAAGATAAAAATTTTTAATTTGCATCATCAAAAATAGAACTTTGTATCAATATGCACCCCAAAAATCAAAAATCTTAATTTGCAACCCTCAAATATAGAAATTTGTATCAATGTGCACCTAAAACTAACTGCCGTTAGTTTACTGCCTAAAATTAAATTGATAAATTATACGTAAATCCCCTTATGTTTGTCACTTAATCATTTGGACCCCTTCACATTTAAAATATTACTTCTACATCTCATTACGTTTGTGCACATGTAACACGTAATCTTTTTTCGTTGATATATGTTAATATAACCATTAAAAAATATGATTTTATCCTAATAAAAAATTATAATTTCATATTACTCTTTATTTTGTGGGTCCGATATATTCTAAAATTCAAAATTAAATTTACCATTTGAATGTCCAATAGAATGCAGATATTTATATAATGTTTTTTTATATGCAATGCAATATATCACTTAAAACATTATTATTTGAATGCCCAATTGGAGGAACATTTTAGATTGAGAGTATTTTTATTAGGATTTTATAACCTTTAAAAAATATGATTTTATCTTAGAAAAAATTATAATTTCATATTACTTTTTATTTTGTGAAGAGGTCCAAATGATTAAGTGACAAGTATGAAGGGATCTAGATATAATTTATCAATTTAGTTTTAGGCGGGAAATTGACGGTAGTTAGTTTTTTGTGCACATTGATATAAATTTCTATTTTTGAGGGTGCAAATTGAGATTTTTATCTTTGAGGGTACACATTGATACAAATTTTTATTTTTGAGGGTGTAAATTAAAATTTTTTATCTTTGAAGGAACAAATTGAGATTTGAACGATCTTTCAGAGTGTAATTTATAATTAACTCATTAATTTAACACTCTTTTCAAGGAAATGTATTTTAGAGTTATTAAAAAGTTATGTACTTAACTACTTATTAGTAAGATTAGCATACGAACGACTTATCTCAAAATAAATTTGAGGGAGAGACTAAACTCATTAAAAGTCTACTAAATAAGACTCAACCCAAATTTTTACAAAATATATTATCAAAATTCCAAATCCTAATTACCCTAACACAGATAAGATAAGATCAAATATCTAATTCTTGTTGTTAACAATAAAAAAAAAAATTTACTTGAAGTCACAAATTTTATACTCCAAATATAATATTTTTCAACTAGCTACCATGGCCTAACTTAGATAGCTACTTCTAGCTTCCACAAATGAGTAATTATCAAAGATAAAAGATTTATTTATTAAGGATTGGGATTTCTATTCCACCATTGTTTGAATGTTTTCTCTCTCCTTCTCATAATATATATTAAGATTGTATTTGTATATGAAAAATAAAAATATTTTTTTCATTATGTACCACCAAAAATATTCCGTAGCACACGCACCAATGCACTTGAAATGAATCATTGAAACAAACAAATTAAAGTATCCACTGAATTGTCAAAATTTCTAGTCGCTAGAGTACGGCTGTCTCAACGTATCATAAAGTGTAAATTATATTTGGAACCCTTAAATTTTATTGTNGATTGTATTTGTATATGAAAAATAAAAATATTTTTTTCATTATGTACCACCAAAAATATTCCGTAGCACACGCACCAATGCACGTGAAATGAATCATTGAAACAAACAAATTAAAGTATCCACTGAATTGTCAAAATTTCTAGTCGCTAGAGTACGGCTGTCTCAACGTATCATAAAGTGTAAATTATATTTGGACCCCTTAAATTTTATTGCTTAATTAATTAGACACCGCATATTTAAAATATTATTCTTAGACCGATCAAAGTTTGTGCACGTATGACCCATAAATCTCAATTGTTAATATTTTTTATTCTAATTTTTTAGTATTAATTATGTCATTCATAAATATAATCATAATCCTCAAACTACACTTTTCNACCCTTAAATTTTATTGTTTAATTAATTAGACACCTCATATTTAAAATATTATTCTTAGACCGATCAAAGTTTGTGCACGTATGACCCATAAATCTCAATTGTTAATATTTGTTATTCTAATTTTTTAGTATTAATTATGTCATTCATAAATATAATCATAATCCTCAAACTACACTTTTCATCTTGAAGGGGAGTGCCACCGCCAAGCCTCAAAGCATGCCACAATCCACCACCTATCCCCAAAAGTAGTAACCTCTTGTCACCAACACCCATAACCACTGACCACTACAAACCTATCATGCCCAACACCAAAGACAAAGATATCAACTATAATGGCACAACCACCACCAAATCCCAAAATTGTGACCCACGGCCAATCACCCATAACAACCAGTAACAAACCCACTATGCTCAACACCCCTACACAGTCATCCAAAGGTCCGCAATTTAAGGAGATTTATGGGCTTGGGTTTCTTTTGGGTATGGGTTCCATATAGTTTTTGGTTTGGGTTTGTATTTGATGAAATTATTTGATTTTTTTATAAGAGGGGAAAAGGGTTACTTCAAATGTTATGTCCGTAAGTGGGTTCTTACTGATAAGAGGTGTTAATGTAATATATCATACTTAAGGGGATTCTTGTAATTTAGTGCTAAATTTTAGGGATGTGAATGTAATTTATCCTATTATAAACGTTTATTCACACGCATATGCGCACAGAGAGAGACGGAGAGTTATGGAGGTGACAGCCAGAGCTCCCGGCAAAATCATACTTGCCGGCGAACACGCTGTGGTTCACGGATCNGTGTGAATGTAATTTATCCTATTATAAACGTTTATTCACACGCATATGCGCACAGAGAGACACGGAGAGTTATGGAGGTGACAGCCAGAGCTCCCGGCAAAATCATACTTGCCGGCGAACACGCTGTGGTTCACGGATCAACGGCCGTCGCTGCCTCCATTGATCTCTATACTTATGCCTCTCTTCGCTTTCCCACTCCTGAAGGTACTTCATAAACTCTTAACTACTGTACATGTCTGTTTTTTCTTGATGTGTGTGCGAGCTGAAATTGTTGATATTTTGAAGTTTTTGAGAGGTAACTGACCTGGTTTTTCTTGAAATGTTTTAGTAAACAAATCCCTTTGAGATTTTGTGTTAATTTTAGGTAGACATTGCCAAAACTCTTGTCTCTGCTAATGGGTTGGATTGACTTTCTCCTAGGATTATAATTAAGTAACATTCTCACAACACCTGCTTCCTTATTTATTACGTAGTTATTTTGAATCTGAATTTGTATTGTTATAGTTACACTTGAGTAGTGCAGTAGTGTTGCATTGCTTAACTATTGGAATTTGATTAGGCTAAATTATAGGAACCTTGAATTTATGACCCAAGCGATCAAACCCTTTGTTATTTTGATATTGATCGTCAAAGTTTTCTTGAAATGAAATTTTTATGTAAAAACACCCTTTGGATTTTGGTGAAAATAATGGTATTATATGTGCCTTTGATGGAAGTTTTGTTAACCTGGAAATTAGTGAGTATTCAGAATTATTGCAGACGTTAATTATATCTCTTTTGCTGTATGTCAACCTGGATTCACGACCCTCATGAGAATCATGGACGCATATTTAATTAATACATTTTGCCTAAGAAAAAATATCTAGATGTTGTGTTACACCATCACTTGGAAGTTGAGGATCAAGTATATGAACAAGGTTGTATGTTCTAATTATAGTATACTTGGTAATTGGAACAATTTTGATCAATGCATGATTTATTTTTTCAGCCTAATAGGTAATTCTCTCTTGGTGATACTTATTGCGTCTTTATTTATTTGATCTCTGTGATCTATTGACTAGATTGGTTTTTCTTTTATCTTTTTGGGGGTAGATAATGATGATACACTTAAACTCCAGCTCAAGGATATGGCTTTAGAATTTTCTTGGCCAGTTGGAAAAATTAAAGAAGCACTGCCAGAATTGGGGAGTCATGCCGCATCATCACCCATGTCATGTTCACTGGATACCATTAAATCAATTGCAGCACTAGTTGAAGAACATAATATTCCAGAGGCCGAAACTGGACTTGCTGCTGGAGTTTCAGCTTTCCTTTGGTTATACACTTCTATCCAAGGGTCTGCATCTACTATCGGTTGCTATTGATAACTTTTGCCTGTGGCTATGAACCACTCTGACATCTAGTATTGTTGTGTGTCAGGTATAAACCTGCGAAGGTGATTGTCACTTCTGAGCTTCCACAGAGCTCTGGATTGGGTTCATCGGCAGCACTATGTGTCTCCCTCTCAGCTGCTCTACTTGCTTTGTCCGATGCTGTGAACTTAGATTTTGGTCAACAAGGCTGGTTAATGTTTGGAGAAAGCGAACTGGAATTGGTTAACAAATGGGCTTTTGGTGGTGAAAAAATAATCCACGGGAAGCCATCTGGGATAGACAACACGGTTAGTACATATGGTATGTGTTCTTTCATAGCAATTTGGAAAACAGTTTGAACTCTTGAGGCTCAGAGAAAATATTGTGGAGTTATGAAGCTAGGAAAGTTATTTAAATTTTTTTTTTCTGAATTTCTGGTAAAAAAATCATAAATAAAGGCTAATGAATGTGTTTAATTGCAGGAAAATAATCCATTTGAGTTAATTGAAAAGTAGAGGCATATGTTAACATTTTCGCAGTTGTTCGACTTTTCTAGTAATTTTAGACTTTTAAGTTATTCGTCATATTTAAACCACTGGGTATTTTTATGTTAACGTAAGTGAGATTAATGGATTCTAGAAAAGAGAGAATTAAAAAGAGGAAAGGTGGAATTCAAACCTTAACTCTGCGGATGTGTGCACCAAACTGATGAACACCACTAAGTCTACCACACTATGTGCTCATGTCCCCTGAAATTCGATTGACGACAACTGGAGGATGAACAACAAAAACATTATACTAAAGTAACAGTATTGGTGGTTGAACATTTTTCATTTATATATTGTTGATGTCTTTCCTATCAGATATTTTTTTTTTGGTCGATGCCTAACTTTTTATTGAACACAAATTACCATTTTGAGATTTCCATAATACTTGATGTACACGAGGGCTTACTGATGCAACAGGGCTTCTGAACTTGGATATGCTTGTAAATAATAAACTTCTTGCCACAGGAAACATGATTAAGTTTAGATCAGGAGATTTGATGCGCATCAAGTCCAATATGCCGCTTAAAATGCTCATAACTAACACAAAAGTTGGGAGGAACACGAAGGCATTAGTTGCCAGCGTTTCTGAGAGGAAGGTCAGGCACCCTGATGCTATGATTTCTGTATTCACTGCGGTTGATTCTATCAGCAATGAATTGGCCTCTATTATCCAGTCTCCTGCCTCTGATGATCTTGTCATAATTGAGAAGGAAGAAAAACTAGAAGAGCTGATGGAAATGAATCAAGGGTTGCTCCAGTGTATGGGGGTCAGTCATGCTTCTATAGAAACTGTGCTTCGATCAACATTGAAATACAAATTAGCGTCCAAGTTAACAGGAGCTGGTGGTGGAGGCTGTGTTCTGACACTATTGCCATCCCGTATCCATTTCATTAATCTGCTAATAAATGCCACTTTTTAATTTTTTCGTACATCAACTATTTTCTTCTTCCAAATTTTGAATACTATAATGATTACATTATATGTTGAATTCCATGCTTTAAATATTTTCTATATACCCTTTTTCTTGTCTTTTGTTGCATCTTTATGCATGACATCATTTGGTTGCTAGCCTTCACTACAAGAAGGTAGATGATGACCTAGAATATATTCCCCTGACTACTCACTACTTAATGTTGTCCTTTCTAGAAATACATGCATATAACTATTATTTTGAAAATGGAGTCTACATGTTACCTAAATGTGTAAGACAATTAGAAAAAACTTTTAGGATGTACTGCATTGTTTATTGCAGTGGAGTTTTTATTTTGTAACTATATGACATCTAAAGCTAGTTCTAGGCTCATTTGACAAATTTTCTATGCATCGCTTATCTAAACCTAACACTACAACTATGGTTGCTGGTTGCTGGTTGCATTACTAAGTTCACTGGAGCATTGGCCTTGTATCAACAAATTATATTTAGGGGAGACATGATGGGGCAAAAGTGAGAGTTTAAAAGGAAACCATTTTTCTTGAGATAGCATAAACTAGAGTTTGAAGTAAGTGGTGTGAATGTGTTCAAAAGAGTTAGAGACTGGATTCACTAATGTGTTATGGTGTTTCGCTGCCTGAAGAGAAAATTCGTAGAATAAGGAAGAAACTATCTGCATAAAGAATGAATGGAGATAAAAATGAAAACCAAGAGATTTGTTCTAAGAATTTAAAGTGGTAAATGACTTGTAGGATTCCAAGTTGTGGTAAATGCTTGATAGAATTCCAAGTGGTAAATGCTTGATGTAGAGATGATTTGGTGTCAGACAATCTCTGAAGATACGGGGGCTTGTGTTCTAGATTTTCTCTGGCAACCAATAATGAGGAACTGCGAGTCATTCCTTCACATGAATCTTTTGATATTGAGAGTAAGGCTACAAACCATAGTTCTTATATCTTGATGCAATTTAACCTCTTGAATATTTTTGGGGAATATAAAAAGAAGTAATTAATCAATTACTTTGATTGGTAATTGGATAAAGTGAGTTGCAGAATTCTGGTGATTGAAGCCCATAATTCCAGATCAGTCTAGTTTGAACTGCACTGGCGAAAGGAGTTTGAGTCAGAAGCAAATCGCTTGATTGAAAGTTTGTGCAAATGAGATTTNCTAACTGCAGAATTTAATTTCTCAAATTCAACCAAGAGAATGAAGAAAAAGAAAGAAACTGTTGCACTCAATGCATGCAAGACTCCCGCCTATAGCAACGTCTGGCCCAGAAAAGGTAATTGGTAATCTTATCCCTATTTTAGAGAGTTTGATTTGCATTCACAGTCTCGAACACATGGCGTGTAGCTTGAGTGAATGACCACTTGCAAAACATCGACATCAATATATATTCCTTGAAGTCTGGAACACACGAGCTAATTGCAAAGTTATCCTGTTGGATGGAATCAAATTTTGAGTTTTTCCAAATTACTTAAAGAAGTAGGTTTACTGAAAATCTTCTGTTCTTGAAACATTTAAAAGAAATCTTGTGGGCTCCACAAATTTATCCAGCTAAATGTATTCCAGTAGCTTGGAACTCTCAAATTCTGTCCAGACAGATCAACGCACTTCTTTTGGGTTAATCAGTGAGCATGACTGTTTGGTAAACAGTCAAGGACAAGATATCTGTTGTCAGNAATTCCAGTAGCTTGGAACTCTCTCAAATTCTGTCCAGACAGATCAACGCACTTCTTTTGGGTTAATCAGTGAGCATGACTGTTTGGTAAACAGTCAAGGACAAGATATCTGTTGTCAGCAGATTGTCCACTTATTTTAGTCCCCAAATCAGTTGTAGATAACAAACATTTGTTTTCTTTTCTTTTTTTGGGTACAGTGGAAAAGGTAACTGGAGCCCTTACAGCTCTCTAACAAAAACAGTAGAAGTTTGGTCTGCCTGAAGCATATGTCTTATTTCAGTGGGGGGCTCCACCATGATGGCCAGTGCATTAGCAGATTTGTTTCCCTTGCGCAAAACATGTTGCATTTGGCAAATGGTTATCTTCAGTAGCTCTCTACAATTACTTAGAGTACTGCTTAGATGCCGTTTCTTGTGATTGCGAGATAAGGTTGAAAGCTTCGTATGAATCTGTCTCTACCACTACACTTTGGATCCCCCGCTATCATTTCTTATTATTCCACATACCAGCCGAGCCAGGATTGCCTTTGGGGCATCCATCCGTATTCATCTTGAGCCACCCTGGAGGAGGAAAGGACCACCCAATTAGTCTAATGGGTTTACATATTCTTGTGACTTCTATGTTTAGGCTGCATTGTTAGTTCCAACTTCTAAGAGCCAAGCATTGGTGGCTACAGATTTAGGATCAGAGTTAATCTTTTCTATGCAATCCTTGTTTCTATCCTTTCTAATGCTACAAATAAATATAGTCTACTTGATACCTCTCCATTTATCCTTACCTTTCTCCTTCACATTCTTTTGGATCCAGGTTTCAAGGCTCAAGGTTTGGTCTGATGATCTAGGAAGACACTCCAGACTACTTGGGCTTTTTTGACAATCCCTCAGGATGTGAATTATTGTCTCTGTTGGGTTATTGCATCACTCATACTATTTCTGGTGGCTCTTAAGTGGTTTGAAAGGATTCTATCATTTTGAACTAGCCACAGGAATTATTTTAGTTTCTGAGGAATTCTTACCTTCCAAATCCGCTCCCAGTTACTGTTAGTAGATTGGGAACTATCTTCTTGGGTTGGTAGATCCAAGGATCAAAATTTTGTTTTGGTATATTGTTTCGGTTACTTAAGAAACGAAAACGGAAACGTTTCGACATGTTTCGGAAACGTTTCGACTCGTTTCGAAAATAGAATGAAANCATTGTTTCGGTTACTTAGGAAACGAAAACGGAAACGTTTCGACTCGTTTCGAAAATAGAATGAAAAAAAATTTTAAAATTTAAAAATAATTTTTTAAAACATTGGTCGAAATATTCCAAACTCCAAAATATCTTGAANTATTGTTTCGGTTACTTAAGAAACGAAAACGGAAACGTTTCGACATGTTTCGGAAACGTTTCGACTCGTTTCGAAAATAGAATGAAAAAAAATTTAAAAATTTAAAAATAATTTTTTAAAACATTGGTCGAAATATTCCAAACTCCAAAATATCTTGAAATACCTTGAAACATTCCAAAATAATTGTGTAAATGCATTGAAATATAACAAAATATTTTGAAACATTATGGAACACCTCAAAGTATTAGAATTTAGATTCCATCATTGATTTGTTTCAGTCTCCTTAGAAACGGAAACGTTTTGGATGTTTCGACTGTTTTGANGAACACCTCAAAGTATTAGAATTTAGATTCCATCACTGATTTGTTTCAGTCTCCTTAGAAACGGAAACGTTTTGGATGTTTCGACTGTTTTGAAACGATATTTTGATCATTGGGTAGATCATATATTGCCTTGGAGGAAAATTTCCAATCACTTACCAGACCCAAACGAGGTGTATCTTGACATGATCTAACACTAGGCAGAGGGTGACTTCAATTTCATCCATTAGATTTTGAGTTAGAAAGATGCTTGCATCTTGCATTTTCCACTTACCTTCCTGATCAATGAATTCTGCCACTGTGCATTGGAGAATAGCTGATTGCGGACTTGAATGATTTATTGAAGTGGTTCTTTAACCAGCCACCAATGTTTTCTCCATTTCTTATTATCCACCCTGTTTCCTTTTCAAGTATATTTTGGGTTTTCAAGATTGTCCTCCAAATGGTAGAGGTTGTGGATTTCTTTTCCAGATTCTGAGATTTTGGTCTACATATTTCTTCTCAATTACTCACCGGTAGTGTTTTATTATTCTCATTAACTTTCCAGCCCAATTTAGATAGTAGATCAATGTTGCTCTCCCTACTTTTCCTTATTCCTAAGCCTCCTCTAGACTTTGGTGTACAAATTCTATTCCAATTTATGGGGTGAATTTTTCTTGTCATCAATGTCTCCCCACAGAAAGTTTCAATTTAATCTATCTAGTTGATCACATGTTGACTAAGGTATCCAATTGGTTTGCATTACATATTTTGGTACTGCAGATGTTACCGCTTGGATTAGTGTGGTTCTACCAGCCATGGATAGGGGTTCTCGTTTTTCATGCATTCAACATATTATGAACTCTCTCAGATTTCTATCTTGTGATTTATTGACATTTGGGGAAACAAAAATTCTAGATTCAGCTAGGCTAACTTTTAAACGTGAAAAATATTGCAGAAATTATTGAGGACTTCTCTCATCATTGCACAATTCCTATTTGAAGTACCTAAAAATAGAATTATATCATCTGCAAACAACAAGTGGGTAGTTTCAGGTCCATTTCCTGGAGGTTTTCATTCAACCCCTTCCATATACCTTGGGGCACCTCATGGTTTATGATTTGACCTAGTTTCTCCATGCATAACACATATAGGTAGGGTGATATGTAGTGGATTACCCTGTCTTAGTCCTCTCTTTGATGTTATTGGATTCAAAGGGGAACCATTCTATAGTATTGAGAGGGAAGCTCATGTAACACAAATCATTATTATGTCTATCCAGGATTGGGAAAGTTAGAATCTTTGAAAGTTTGATGAAGGGCCAACTGATTCTATCATAGACTTTCTCTAGGTCTATTTTTATTATCATTCCTCCATCTTTGCCCCTTCTTGTCTTTAGCGCGTGTACAACTTCGTGGGTAATAATAACATTATCTAGAGTCTGTCTTCCTGGTAGGAAGCTGCTTTGGTTAGGATTTACAAGGTTATCTATAAAGGGAATCAGTCTTTTAACCAAAAGCTTAGTCAGGATTTTATAGCAAATGTTACCCAAACTAATGGGTCTAAATTGTGTGACCTGTCTAGGATTATCAACTTTAGGTATAATGGTAATCCAGGTTTTGTTTAGTTCCCGAGAGTAATTTGCACTGCCTATAATGTCTTTAAGCTGTTGACGTA